GTGCCCAAACCCTGAGCTCAAGCCCCAAGATAGGCACACACACACAAAGTTTACAAATTACAAATAGTTTTATGTTATCAAATATATCATAGAAAATGACAGCTTATTATTTAATGATTAACTCATATGTGAGTATATATAATATACATAATATGTAATATACATATATAATATACATAATACATGTATAAATGTAGAAAATTTCTAGAAGGTTATACAAAGAACTGTTGATTTTGTTCATCTCTGGAAATTAGTGGCTACGTTTTCCAGAGGTAGAAAATTTTCACTTTTTGCTTTCTATACTACTTCCCACTATTTAATTCTTTTCTATGTGCATTCATAATACTTATTTTATTTTATTTTATTTTATTTATTTATTTATTTATTTTGGGTCCAGTCGTGGGGCCTGAACTCTGGGCCTGGGTGCTGTCCCTCAGTTCTTCAGCTCAAGGCTAGTGCTCTACCACTAGAGCCACAGCACCACTTCTGGCTTTCTTTGCTTATGTGGTGCTGAGGAATTGAACCCAGGGCCTCATGCATGCAAAGCAATCACTCTACCATTGAGCCACCTTCCCAGCCCCTACTTATTTTAACTATAAGAAATTAGTTTAAAGGTTTTGGATGTACCTCAGTGATACTGTGCTTGCTGTGCATGTTCAAGGCCCTGGCTTGGACCCTCAGCTTCACAAAAACATAAAATAAAACAAAAAATCCCTATTTTAAGTTGGAAACTAATCAGTATGTAATAAAATGGCATGTCTAACCTCCCATGAAAAGAGCAACTACAGAGCAGTTTGTGACTGATTTAATTCTTAAGGATATTTCAAGTGTTGATTAAAATGTATATGTTTTAGAGTAGAGAATTGTTCTTGAAAAAAAAAAAAAAAAACCCTGAAAATTCACAGAGGACATACGCACTTTTTTTTTTAAATCTCAAAGGTTGCATACAAGTAATATTTAATGAGTACTTTTTTGGCATCTTTTTCTCTTAGCAAAGCTTCAAAACTACTCTATGGTAACACTTTGCTCATCTAAGTTTTAATAAATTTAAGGAAATATAAAGGCCCTTGATATGACTTCTACAGCATTCTGACCTGTATAGAAATAAATCTGCCTACTAAGAATGCTTTGTAGTTTCAGCTGAAACTCTTGGATTTATATATATGTCACATATCAGCTAGTTTTGCTGTGTAACAAATCACTTTAATACTCAGTGGATTAAAAACACTGTTATTTATGATTGCCACAATGCTTGCTGGTCTGCTGGATTTCAGCTGATCCAGGCTATTCTCAGCTCGGAGGCTTTTGTTCATGATAAGGTGGCTGTGAGTAGTTCCTTTTTTTTTTTTTTTAGAAAGAGAGAAGGCTGGAAGTCTGCCTCTGCTCCTTATAGTGTCTATACTGCTGAGACAAGCAAGCTATTCATAAGGATGGTGGAAGACAGTGAACAGAAGTAGTCCAGGACTATGATCAGGATTGGCATACCATCACAGAAGGAAGGGAGTCACATGGCTAAGCCACAAAACCAAGAGGCAAGAATGACATTCCCTTATAATGCATATGGCAGGAGTATGGATTGAGGAAACGTGAAGGATTAGTGTCAACATGTCAATCTTCCATACCAGAGTAAAATGATAGAAATTTGGAAGGAGATTGGCTAGAATTTTCAGTGGTCTGAATGGTGTGGGCACAGGATTTTTTGATGGAAGAAAGGGGAATGCTTGAGAGGAGTGCTGGATCTTTTTCTTTTCTTTCTTTCTTTCTCTCTTTCTTTCTTTCTTTCTTTCTTTCTTTCTTTCTTTCTTTCTTTCTTTCTTTCTTTCTTTCTTTCTTTCTTTCTTTCTCTCTTTCTCTTTCTTTCTTTTTCAAATAGTGTGAAAGAGCTACAGTGGAGGAAGCATATAAAATCTAGTGGGGAAAGAAACAGTACAGGAGGGTGAGTGGAGAGAAGACAAAGAAGACTACTAGAAAGGGCTGAATGAGTATCTCCATATTAAAGGCTTATTTTAGTTAATTGAAATTGTTATTGACTATATTTATAAGTTTCTCAAGTATGTAATGGCCTGAATCAGTAGTCTAAGAGAATAATATGTTTCCATACTGGGTTTTGCCAACATATTGTAGAAATTCTGTGGAATTGGTATGTGGATAGAAAACAAAATTACTATTTAAAACAAGAACTAGCCTTCTGTCTTGATTATTTTCATACTTTGAACCACTTTAATCAAAATGATAATTCTTACATAATTATCAAGGATACCTACTAGATCCTTGAATATAATTCATTCATAATTTCTTCCCCTTATTGGTGTGAATTTAGGTAAAGAACACCTTTGCTTATTCTCTGGATCCAATGGAACCAGATGCATTTGCTTTTTAAGGAAATTATAGTATTTTTATTTTATTTCATTTTAATTTTGTTGGTTGTGGGACTTGAACTCAGGGCCTGGGCACTGTCCCTGAGCATCTTTGTGCTCAAAGCTAGCTCTCTTTCACTTGAGCCATAATGCCACTTCTGGTTTTCTGGTGATTTATCGGAGATAAAAGCCTCATGGACTTTTCTGCCTGGGCTGGCTTTGAACCACAATCCTCAGATCTCCTGAGTAGCCAGCCTCCTTTGTAGCCAGCCTCCTGAGTAGCCAGGTTTACAGGTGTGAGCCACGGGTGCCCGACAAAACTATGATATTTTAAAACATACCAATTTCGTTTCCCTTACTTGCAATAACTAGTACATGTCTAGGACAAGCAAAAAAGGTCAAAAGCTATGTACATATGACCATATAAGATGATGTTAAGCTAAATGAACCCCAAGACAGGGACACAAGTGGTTTTTTTCTTTCTTGCTATTGTTTTAACATACTTATTCTCTTGTTCCTTTTGTATGTTCTTCCCCCATGGTATAACCCCTGTTTTCATTGTATCTGATTCTGGTGTCCTGCATCTTGTATATACATTTTTCTAATTTGGGGAGGGAAAGGGATATAACAAAATGCTTAAATAGGGATACAGGTTGACCCGTTGTAACAATGAGATGTACAAGACACTATGTTGAAAATGAACTTTACAATTTGGGGGGAGGGGGAGTTGGGAAGGTGGGGAGGGAAGGGATGGTAGGGGAAAAACAAAGGAGGAGGTAACAATGCTAGATAGGAAGTATACCCATTACCTTACTCATGTAATTGTAACCCCTCTGTACAGAATTTTTACAATAAAAATATATATGGGGAAAAAAAGAAAATCAAGAAACTGCCTGAACACCATAAGCCAATTTTCAGAATGAATTTTGTATTGCATCTTTAAAAAAATTATTGAATATTTTCTACTGGCTTTCATTACTATTTATATACACAGAAATAAGAAAGGGTAAGAAAATGTCAAAAGAACAAACTATGTGTTTTGAATTTTTGTCAAATAAAATGTGTGATACATTGTTAAAAAAAAAACAAAGAAAATGACTGTGATCTGTGAATTAAATTTCACACACAACCTGGTGGCCCTTCTAATGTAGACACATTTAGTTCATTGGTAGAATGTACCTCTCCTTAGAGAAATAATTCTATGACTTACATTTTTGACATTTTCTAAGAAAATCTCTTAGGACTAGTGGATTTTTTTTATTTTTATTTTTTATTTTTTGGTCGGTTGTGGGGCTTGAACTCTGGGCCTCGGCTCTGTTCCCTCAGCTCTTCAGCTCAAAGCTAGTGCTCTAACAATTGAGCCACAGCACCAAGTCTGGTTTTCTGAGTGGTTTATTGGAGATAAGAGTCTAATGGACTTTTCCTGCCCGGGCTGGCTTTGAACTGTGATCCCCAGATCTCAGTCTCCTGAGTAGCTAGGATTACAGGCATGAGCCACCAGCACCCGGCTAGTGGATATTTTTATTTGTCTTACTTCTACTATAATTTATGTCCTTGAAAAAATTAGCAGGGTGCTAATTAGCTCATGCCTATAATCCTAGCTACTCAGGAGGCTGAGATCTGAGAATTGTGGTTTGAAATCAGCCTGGGCAGAAAAGTCCCCATGAGACTCTTGTCTCCAATTAGCCACTCAAAAACTGAAGTGGCACTGTGGTTCAAATGGTAGAGCACTAGTCTTGAACACAAAGATCCTCAGGCACAGTGCCCAGGCTCTAAGTTCAAGCCCCAAGACTGACCCTCTCCCCGCCCCAAAAAAAAATCACTCTCAGCCAGGCACAGTGGCTTAAGCTTTTAATTGTAATTACTTTTGAGGTAGAGATTACTGAGGCTTAGTGTGTGAGCCTGTCATTCTCAGAAATAGAGGAAGCACAAGGAGGAGAATGGTAGCCAGGCCAGCCTGGGCATAAATTAAGACCCTATCTCTTAAATAACCAACACAAAAGAAGCTGGAAAGCATTATTCAAGTGGTAGAACTTGAGGCCCTGAGTTTAATCCCCAGTGCTGCTAAAAAAAATCTCATATTTTTTACATTTCTCTTTTGTGTAGCAGTTTTGAGCTATAATGCTTGTGTGTTGTTTGAAGGTTTATTGCATATGTGCATTAGACATGTATTAAAACAAGAGAAAGCTTGGTAAGATTAAGAAAATTGGTCTGGATTGGAGGGCCCTGTAATTTCAAATGGTAGAGCACTCACCTGAGAAGTGAAAAGCCCTAGGTTCAAATCCTAGTACCACAAGAGGAAGGAAGGAAGGAAGGAAGGAAGGAAGGAAGGAAGGAAGGAAGGAAGGAAGGAAGGAAGGAAGGAAGGAAGGAAAGAAGGAAGAAAGAAAGGAAAGAAGGAAGAGAGGGAGGGGGAGAGGGAGGGAGGGAGGGAAGGAAGGAAAGAAGGAAGATGGAAGGAAGGAAGGAAGGAAGGAAAAGAGGCTGATTTTGTTTTGGTCGGTCATAGGGCTTGAACTCTGGGCCTGGGCACTCTCCCTCAGCTCTTCAAGAGGCTGATTTTTGAAACTGTGGTTTTGTCACTTCAACACTTTTCTTCATTTTGAAGTTTTGGTTACTGGTCTCATTCCTCTTTCACTCCAGGCTGGGAAGTGATGATACTCATTTTGAAGCAAGTATGGCCAATAATGGATGTGAAGTACACCATTTTGATCCTAGTGTGAAATCAGCTCACATTCTGGAGAGCCAGCGCCTTTGGCATCACAGACTGTCCATTGATTGGCGTGATCCCCATCCAGCTGTTGCTGCCCAAAAGACACATAGCAACACCAGAAAACTGAGAAGCATCTTGGATGAATTTGGGCATCACAAGGTGAGACTTTTTACTTGCTTTCATAATTAAATGAAGTGAACAAGCCCATCAACTTGAACAAATGGAAACCAAGGGTTACAATATTGACATTGGAAAGTTGAGGTCCAAATTTACTCTTATTGATCACCCAACATTATTTATAGAATCAACTCTGTGCACATAAAGTTTTGGCAAGAGAGGAGAGAGATGTTTACATTGGTTTGAAGATTTTACTCATTGATTTAAATGTACAGAAAGGGCACACTGCTTATGTGAGAAACAAATACAAAACAATCCAATTTAGGTTTATGTTTGGTAAGACACTACTCGTGTACAATATTTCTCACTATTATAACATGTTTCTCACTATGTTGAGCCTGTAGGCTTCTGAAGTTCAGAGAATATGTGTAGCTTTGATTAAAATTTATTTTATGAAATTGAACATTAGGTATGTATCGATTTAACTTTGCAAATATTTGACTGTGAATATATGACAAAAGAGAAATACCATCTTTGATGTATGTTCAGAAAAAGTAATTTTTAGCATAAAATATCTGAGCTCATTATGTTTTATAAGCTACTGATTAAAAAAAATGTCTGAGTGTGGTTGGTTGGTTTGATCTCCAGCACTTCTTGAGTTTGGTCTGTCTTGATCTATGGTCCCCAGCCACAGTGACATGACACTTAGAACGTATAAGAGAGGGCATTCATCTGAGAGGCAGGGTTTATGGAACCTTTTGATTTAAGTTGGCTTCTTGATCTTTAGTAACAGGGCTTTCTTCTGTATTGTTCTTTTTCCTCTCCCTCTTCTATTTTTAAGTTGCTTTAATTAAACAGGCAAAGAATGCACTGTTCTTGTATCATACATTTGACTATTGATTGGTATTTTGCTTTGCCAATGAGAGTAACTAGCTTTTAATAGTCAGGAACCTGAAAATTCAGAACAAAATCTCTTTTCATATGCTATTAATTTTTTAGTAAGTGTGGGAAGAAGCACGGCATTTTTTGAGAATTGTTTTTTTGTGGGATTTTTTTTTTTGCCATTTGTTACCTTTATAGATTTTTTTTTACAGCTAAAAATTACATGCCTTATTCTTCAAGACACCAACTGTGGAGCTAGTACTTATGCTTTGTGTTCAATAAGGAGCCTTGCTGCTTCTCCTTCTTGCCTTTTCCTTCCTAGCCCTCTCCACCCTAACTTTTCCAAGGAAAAACTGAGTAGGAAAAGAGGGGAAATTCAATGCCATTTTGCAGTTTCTGATACTATTTTAGTAAAAGATTTTCTAAAAGGTGAGGCTGAAATGAGGCTTTGAAAAAGCCATGTATGGGTATAATTTATGTAACCCCATTTCCTGCAGAGAATATTTTTTGGATAACAAGTCATAAACCTGGATTGTTTCTTTTCGATTCACTTCCTGTGAGTTTCAGTGACAAGCCTGTATTCAGGGGAGAAAGCAGAGAGCCCTTGTCGCACTGCCCTTGAGACAGTACAGGACTTAGAAAGGACTAAGGAAGTCCTAGAAAGGACTGCTTATGTTCCTCAGGCTATTTGTCAAAAGTCAAATGTGTTAATGTCAATAAAAGTGATCTGGCTCACAATTGCCAGGTCCATATTTGCTGCTAAAAACAAAAGTCACGCTTGAAGAATTTAAAGATATACTAATGCACTTTCATAGAGACTTTTTTGGCAAATGCTTTCAAACCGAAACAAAATATACCAAAACCCATGGGTGATTGATTGCATCCATCAAGAACATGCTTGGAGAGGTGGTCTGGTGCCAGATGAAAGCAAATCCTGCCTGAGGCCTGTGGCAAGACTGGTCTGTCTTAGTTTTTCTTCATGTGCATAGACATTGGTAGATAGGAGATAGCTATGGCAGGGAGGCAAAAAGATCAAAGCATTCAAAATGCCAGTGCCTTTGCCTTGCCTTCTGTACTTACTGATTTTGAAAGTGACAATAGAAACCGTAGGTTCTTTTCTCTACAAGACTTTAAAATATTCCATATAGTTTTGCACTCATTTCCCAGTTAAGCTACATTTCCCCCCTTATTCTCTATACTCAAGCCTAGATTCCAGTCACTCAAACAAATTTATGAGCTAAATCAAAGGCAATATTCTGAGACAGTGACAGAAAGATGCATATGACTTTTGCACTGCTTAAAAAAAAACTCTTTGCTCATTTTAACTTCAAGGTATAAATCAGAAAATTTTCCTAGAACACAGGTATTAGCAACTAGCTGCTTCAGCAAACCTGTGCAGTTCAGAAGCCAGTCTAACAGGGAGTAGTATCTTCTGGATCTAGCATTATTTCTGCTTCTCTGGGCTGGGAACTTAACATGAAACCAAAACATTGGTTTTGTTGTGTGTTTTATGCTGAGTTTGAGAGAATATGGGCTTTGAGATCAAACTATGAAAACATCTTTTTCCTTTTCTCTATCAAATTGGCGAATATAAGCACATTGTTAATACTGCTCGATATTGAATGTTTGTTGGGAATAATACTTCAGCTTTGCTGGAAATAGAAAATGATATAGTCTTTTGGGAAGGAAACCTAATCACATGGGTGTATCACTTTTTACTCCTACAGATCGTTTTGCCAGCTAGGCACTGGTGCTCGCATCTATAATCCTAGCTACGTTGTGTAGTCCTGCCGGTTAACTTTACCACATTTTTCTAGAATGTATGAGGACCACATAAAATTTCTACTCAACTCATATTGTATACTTTTTCCCATCTCCCACTCCTCTTCCCTCCTCTCCTATCCCCTCCCCCCCCTCCCCTCCCCCTCTCCTCCCCTCCCCCCCTCCTCCTCCCCTCCCCCTTTCCTCCCCCTTCCCCCCTCTCCTCCCTTCCCCTCCCCCCTCTCCTCCCTTCCCCTCCCCCTCTCCTCCCTTCCCCTCCCCCTCTCCTTCCCTTCCCCCCTCTCCTCCCTTCCCCTCCCCCCTCTCCTCCCCTCCCCCCTTTCCTCCCCTTCCCCCCCTCTCCTCCCTTCCCCTTCCCCTTCTCCTCCCCTCCCCTTCCTTCCCCTTCCCTTCCCTTCCTCCCCCTCCCCTTCTCTCCTCCCCTCCTCTCTCCTCCTCTTCCCTCCCCTTCCCTCCCCTTTCCCTCCCCTTCCCTTCCCTTCCCTTCCCTTCTTCTGTTAAGGATTAAAATTAAAACTCTAACACTTAAGCTGTATCCCCACCCTTTTATCTTCAGTTTTGCTTTTCAGATAGGACCTCCCATTAATTTTCACCAGGCTGGCCTTGAACTGTGATCTTCTCACTTCCACCTCCCGAGCAGCTGGGAACACAGGCATGTGCTGTCGTGCCTAAATTGTTTTTGAGACATGGCCTTTCTAGCTTTTGCCTATCTTAGCCTCAAACTATGATCTTTGTCTCCTCCTCCTGAGTATCTGGGATGATAATTGTATAGAACCATACCTCTCATCACACCTCTTTTTTTTTGGCGGGGGGGGGGGGGGGGGGGGGGGTGGGGGGGGGGGGGGGGGGGGGGGGGGGGGGGGGGGGGGGGGGGGGGGGGGGGGGGGGGGGGGGGGGGCCAATCTTGGGACTTGAACTCTGGGCCTGGGCGCTGTCCCCTCAGCTCTTCAGGTCAAAGCTAGCGCTCTACCACTTGAGCCAAAGCGCCACTTCCGGCTTTTTTCTTTTTGCTTATGTGGTGCTTGAGGAATCAAACCCAGGGCCTCATGCGTGCAAGGCAAGCGCTCTACCACTGAGCCACCTTCCCAGCCCTCATCCGCCTTTTTTATTATAAACTTAGAATTTCTTAAATGAATTACATACTCAGAATTTATTGCATGCCCAGGACTGTTAGTGAGAGATTATGATAATTACTATTACTATTAGTCTTTTCCTCTTTTCCACTCTTTGGGTGGAAACTGCAGGCAGTTCCTTTGGTGTAAGTATTTCTGAGTTTTAGGATGCACACCTCCATTTTTAGTGTTACAGCTCTGGGCTTTAAGGTGTGCCCTTAGGCCAGCACTCATCAGCTGTTGTTATAGCTCAAAGCTTTGAATGCCATGGGTCTCTGAGCTCTTTTATTATATATATATATATATATATATATATATATATACACACATATACATTTATTGTAAAGATACTGTACAGAGGGGTTACACTTACATGAGCAAGGTAATGAGTCCATTTTCTATCAAGCATTGTTACCCCCCTCCTTTGTTTTTTCCCCTACCATCCCTTCCCCTCCCAACCTTTCCAACTCCTCTCTTCCCTCCCAAAGTTGTAAAGTTAGTTTTCAACATAGTGTCCTTGTATATCTCATTGTTGTTTACAATGGGTTAGGCTGTAGCCTTATTTCGGCATTTTGTATTTCCCTACCCCTCCCCAAATTAGAAAAATGTATATGCAAGATGCAGGACATGAGAATCAAATACAATGACAACAGGGGTTATCCCATGGGGGAAGAAGCATACAAAAGAACAAAAAAAAAATCACACAATACATTATAAGTACATTTAAAAAGAACAGCAAGAAGGATAAAATCTCTTGTGTCCTTATCTTGGGGCTCATTTCACTTAGCATCTGCTTATATTGTCATATGTACATAGCTTTTGACCTTTTCTGATTGTCCTAGGCATATACTAGTTATTGCAGATAAGGGAAAGCATGGGACCTATCTCTTAATGCGACAGCTCTGGGTAGTTTTCAGAAGCAAGAGCTAGTAACTCTCTACACCTTTCTGGAACTCTTAACCAAGACTTACAGCTCTGTCCAGTCTTAGCTCTGCTTGGTCTCTTGCTTTCCGCAGTCTCTGCTCTCTGTAGCCTTTCACCTTCTGCAGTCTGGAGTCTCAAGTCTCTGCAGCTTTGGCCTTCTCAGCAGGTCCTACAAGGCCTTCACAATATCAGCCGTCCTCAGTCTGCTTCCAGCAGCTCTGGAACTCATCAGCTGTCTGTTAGCTAGTACAGGCTTGCCTGGGGCTGACAGCCCTGGAAGTTGTCTGGTTTTTGCATTACCTATTCAGTGCATTCTAATCATGATAAAGGACTATAAGTAGA